ATTCATATTCATTCTTTATAAATAAAGGCGGATTGCACCAAGGAAGTATCCAATTTCTATTGTCAGTTTTTCCTGTTAATGAAATAACCAAAGAAGATTACCAATATTGTCTAACTGCTTGGTGAAAGGAAGAATAGCAGTCTCTAAGGGTACATCTACACAGCAACATTATTTCGAAATAACTAGTGTTATTTTGAAATAACTTAGTATGTGTCTACACACAAGCAGTTATATCGAAATAATGTTGAAATACTGTCAAACTGGAGGACTTCTTACTACAACTACTGTAACCCTCATTGTACGAGGAGTAAGGGAAATCGGAGGAAGAGTGCTTTATTTAGATGTTCCCAATTTTGAAATAAGCTATTTCAAACTAAGCTATGCAACTGACGTAGCTCAATTTGCATAGCTTATTTCGAGTTAAGCCCTGCTGTGTAGACGTGCCCTAACTGAATTATAAGTACATAGATACAGAACATCATCCTGATCCCTTGGGCACTGCATGTAGCATGGACTGTTGCGGGGAAGGGTTGAAAGTGTGTGATCATAAAATGAAAGTTGATAACATTTACATATAGAAGGTAGCCAAATTAAGGTTGTGCGGGCAATCTAAATTTTGACCTCACTTGCCTCTCGAATTATTGCCCCATGCTGTTATCATGTCTAAACTCATTACATACACTATGGCTGTGTCTAGACTGCATCCCTTTTCCGTAAAAGGGATGCAAATTAGACACATCGCAATTGCAAATGAAGCGGGGATTTAAACCCCCCCCGCTTCATTTGCAGAAACATGGCTGCCGCTTTTTTCCAGCTCGGAGCTTTACCAGAAAAAAGCGCCAGTCTAGACGGGGATCTTTCGGAAAATAAAGCTTTTTCCGATAGATCCCTTATTCCTTTTTTTAAGAGGAATAAGCAATCTTTCGGAAAAGGCTTTATTTTCCGAAAGATCCCCGTCTAGACTGGCGCTTTTTTCTGGTAAAGCTCCGAGCTGGAAAAAAGCGACAGCCATGTTTCTGCAAATGAAGCGGGGGGGATTTAAATCCCCGCTTCATTTGCAATTGCGATGTGTCTAATTTGCATCCCTTTTACGGAAAAGGGATGCAGTCTAGACACAGCCTATTTGTAATAATTTATGGGAGTTCCTCTTCTCCACTTCCATTCTAGACTGTTTCCAATCCAGCTTCCACCCTTTGCACTCCCCTGAAATTACTTTCAGCAAAGTTTCTGCCTTTAATATCATCAACTTTGTCCTCCCTTGTCTTCTTATGCCTCTAATCACTCCTTCAGTGTTCTTTTGGAAGCCCTTGCTCATCTCTCCTCCAGTTTTTTGAGGATTCCACAAGGCTGGACTGCTATTTACTGGGGTTCCCTTGCTTACTCCTACCTACTTGGGGTCCTTTCTCTTTTTCCTGTACACCTTCTCTCTGGGAATTTGCAGCCCAAACACGTTCACATACCACCCTATGGGGGTGATTCACAGGTACCCTTCTCTAAACTCCAGACCTGTTTTCTTTTGTCCAAATTTCAGCCTGACTCTGGTATCTCCTTGTGGATGTCAGCTGACAACTCATGGCTAAAGCAGAGCTCTTAATTTACCCCCTCTGCAAGTCCTCTCCCTACCTCCTTTCTTGATCACTGTGGACAACGTCATATTCCTTCCTGTAACCTTCAACATGATCTTCAACTTAAAATCTCTTGAGGTCCTCCTATCCAGGCCATGTCTAAATCTTGTAGATTACTTTGCTGTAAGAACTATATAATACAGTCTTTGCTCTCCATTCACATGGCCAAAACTCTTGTCCAGGCTTTCAGCATTTCACATCTTGATTATTGGAATATATCCTTTTGTCTGGCCTTGCCAAATGTAATTTACTTCTTTCAGAACACTGCTGAAAAGGTAATTTCCCTACCTTTACTCTTTGCATCCTTTGACTGGCTTCCCCATTACTGGATCAAACAGAAACTCTTTGTTCTTCTTCGAGCAGTGTCCTGTGGGTGCTCCACTGTAGGTGTCGGCTTGTCCCGGCGCCGCAGATCGGAGATCTTTTCTAGCCGTAGTCTGCTGGACCACGCATGCGCGAAGTACGGCTCATGGCTTTTCACACCGTTTGAGCGCTGCTGGTCTGGCTCCCGCCAGTTGCTCCTGACCATCTTCGGCCGCGGACGGAACAACGTCTCTCTCGCGAACACTGTTCATTAGAGCATAGAGAGACGAACCATAGTTATTATACATAGTTTGAAGTTGCAGTTTTATAGTTAGTAATCTTGTCGTTAGTTGTTAAAAAAATATATATATATAGTCTTCCTTCAATAGTTAGTCGTTCTTCCCAAATGCTGGGCTTTAAGAAGTGCGGCGAATGCCACGAGGCAATGCCTGCCTCTGATGGCCATTCCCTATGTATCAGGTGCCTCGGAGAAGGCCACATACCCCAGAAATGTCCCCATTGCTCCAAACTGACAGCCAGAGCCAGGCGGGACAGGGATATGCGCCTAAAGGTCCTCTTGTTTGACAAAGCTTTACAACCTGAAGTCAAGCAATCCAAGGGACACGCGGAGCAAACTAAAAAAACTAAGAGAAAACCATCACCGACGTGATCCCTTCCACTCTCAAGATCGGGTGCAGATGACAAGCCAGGGACGTCAACGGCACCGCCCGCAAGTGTTGCGATGCCGCCTGAAGACAGCCGGAGTAAGTCGGCCCCGAGCCCTTCTATATTGGGTTCAACCATCTCAGCCGTTCCCTCGGTCTCTAAACCGCTTACAGGGACTTCTACGGCTTTGAGAACCGCTCCCGGCACGGAGCACCCCCCGGCACCGAGCCGCTCCCGGGCACCGAGCCGCTCCCCGGCACCGAGTCGTTCCCCGGCACCAAGACGCTCCCTGGCACCTAGACGCTCCCCGACAACGAGACGCTCTCAGGCGTGCAGCCACTCTCCAGCACTGAGCCGCTCACCGGCACCGAGACACTCTCCAGCACTGAGACACTCTCCAGTACCGAGACGCTCACTGGTGCATGACCCCACTTCGGCACCGCCTCAGGCTAAACCTTCAACAAGGCGGCGCTCGGGAACTCCCGAGCATCCTTCCCATCCTACTCGGTCGGCACCGAATCGACCACCGCCTCCCATGAGACAACAAGAGCCTCAATGCTCATCGGCACCGGAGCGCTCCCCGTCTTCGACCGTACCGGCACTGAGTCGCCCTTCGGCACCGAAAGGATCGTCTCACCACAGGCATCCATCAGAAGGACGTCCACTGGTACCATGACGACCTTCTCCTCTGAGTCAATCTCCGGAACGGAGGCAATCATCGGTACCGAGACAAGCAACGACGGCGACGGGGACCACTTCGGCACGGATTCCTCCAATGCCAGTGGAAATAATTCTGCACTCTGTCATTTCCACCCCGGCTTCCTCTCCACAGGAGCACTTGCTAGCACCACCGGTCCATACACCCAGGAGATTATCTTCCTTATCACCAAGCCTTGAGTTCTCTCCCGAAGTATGCTCCCCATCTCCACCGTACTCTGAGTACTGTCGTACTGGCCAAATCTCACCACGTTCCGGTCATTCCTACCACCATGATCCTCGCTCACCCAGTCGCAGCACATATTATAGAGAGAGGTCGCGATCACCAAGATCACCACAGCTTTCAACCCATTCAGGATACTCGATGAGATCCCGTCGTTCCACGTCCCCCTATTATCATCATAGGTCATCTTATCATCAACGCCGGTCTCCGCAAACCCCTCTCGCTCAAAAACACCATTCTTCCTCTGCCCCCTCAAGACCACCAACTCCCTCCGGGTCTTCCTCTCATACCGGACAACCCCTTCCCGTTCGGGATCCCAAACCTGATCAGTCACCCGCACACCATTCCTCGTCGTCCCGACAATGCAGTTTTTCAAGGAGACACCTCACCATCTGACGATCTACGCCAGTTTCAGGAGTTATTCAAAAGGGTAGCAGAGAGTCAAAGCGTACAGCTGGGCGACGTGGAGCAAAAACAACACCGTCTCCTCCGCAATATCAAGCACACTCATCAACCAAAGATTTCGTTGCCACTGGATGCGGTCATTCTCGAAACTGCGGACGACATTTGGCAGTCCCCGGCATCCGCCCCGCCAACGAATAAGAAGGCGGATAAAAAGTATTTTGTCCCCGCTAAAGGGATGGAATTTCTTTTCACCCACCCACAACCTAACTCCCTGGTTGTGGATGCAGTTCAGCAAAAGGCAAAGATGCCACAACACAAGCCTACTGCCGCAGACAGAGATAGTAAGCGTCTCGATTTATTCGGATGTAAAGTTTATTCCTCGGCAACACTCACGTTACGAATGGCCAATTATTCTGCATTGCTGGCGAATCACAACTTCGACAACTACGCCAAGCTTGTGCCATTGCTTCAACATATTCCAGAGGCAAAACGAGACATTCTAAAGGCTGTTATACAAGAGGGCTACGCAGCCTCCGGAACGGCCTTACATATTGCTCTGGATACAGCTGATGCGGCAGCGCGCACGACGGCTACATCAGTCGTTATGCGCAGAGCATCCTGGCTGCAACAGTCATCTGCTCCTAAAGACCTGTTCTCGAAGGTCGAGGACTTACTCTTTGACAGGCAGAACCTCTTCTCCGAGAAGACTGACCAACTTCTCCACTCGAGGAAGGATTCCAGAACCACTCTTAAAACACTAGGCATGTACACTCCTCCATACCGTAGAAAGCGATATACGCCCTACCAGAGGCAGAGGCCCCCCCTTCGGCAATCCCCTCAGTATAGGCCTCAAGACCAACAAAGGGGTAGGCAGCGGCAACAGCGCAGACGCCCGCCGCCCAAAGCAACTTCCCAACAGAGTACCCAGGCAGCAAGTTTGACGAGTCCCTCGAGGGGTTGAGAACCATTCCTGTCAATACCACTCTGAGTGCTACGAAGGCGATATTTCATCACCGCCTGAGGCCGTACCTTCATCGATGGGCCTACATCACCACCGACAAATGGGTCCTTCAAACAATTTGTCTCGGTTACACCATTCCATTCATGTCGCTACCTCACCCATCCCCCCCTGCCCTGTCCCTTTTCAGGGACCCATCTCACGAGATCTTGCTCAGGCAAGAAGTTACCCGTCTACTCACCGTCAGAGCAATAGAGCCTGTTCTGGATGAGTTCAAGGGCAGAGGTTTTTACTCCCGGTACTTTGTAACGGAAAAGAAATCACTCGTCGGCACCACGGGTTTTCACCAAGACCCTGGCTGTGGTGACCACATATCTACGTCGCCTACACATAATGATCTTTCCATACCTCGACGATTGCCTAATAAGAGCCCAATCGCTGCAGGAATCGCTCAATGCCACACAGACGACACGCATGCTCTTCCACGAACTGGGTCTTATTCTCAATGTTCCAAAGTCATCATTGGAACCACATCAAACAATACAGTTCATAGGCGCTCGTCTAGACTCTATGACCGAACGCGCATCATTACCGATGGAAAGGTTCCACACGATGCAGGACTTGATCCAGATCTTACTCGTCAGCCCAAAGGTTCCCATACTACGGTGCCTACAGCTTATCGGACACATGGCCTCCACGACATATGTGGTAAAACACGCAAGGTTACATTTGCGATGCATTCAACATTGGATGGCTCGAATCTGCCCCCCCAATGTATGCGATGCCCACAGGACAATAAAAGTTCCCACCCACATCAAGAAATCACTTGCTTGGTGGACAATCCCAGACAATCTGCTGTCGGGCGTACCCTTTCATTGCCCTCAACCGTCGGTGCAATTGACAACAGATGCGTCACTCATCGGATCTCGGCCCCGAACAGGTACAAGGCCTATGGTCACCAGACGAGTCGCTGATGCACATCAACTTCCTGGAGCTCAGAGCAGTGTACAAAGCATGTCAACACTTCCTTCCCATCATTCACGACCAGGTCATACGAGTCCTTACAGACATTATGACGACCGTTTATTACATAAACAAGCAGGGAGGCGCCAGGTCCCACTCCTTGTGTGCGGAAGCGGTACGGCTATGGAACATGTGCAATCGACACAACGTCTTTCTAATCGCGGAATACCTCCCGGGCCATCACAATGTAACGGCAGACGCCCTCAGCAGGCATTTTTCTCTCAATCACGAGTGGGAGTTACATCCTGCAGTGCTTTCGATAATATTTCAACGATGGGGATTTCCGCTAGTGGACCTCTTTGCCACTTCTCACAATGCGAAATGTCCTCGGTATTGTTCAAGAGCAGGGATTGGACGAAATTCAAAAGGTGACGCTTTCCTATACAACTGGGGACGTCACCTACTTTATGCATTCCCACCCACACCCCTAATTCCAAGGGTGGTGGAGAAAATTATTCAAGAAAGGGCCACAGTAATCCTAATAGCCCCAGCCTGGCCCAGGCAAACATAGTATCCATACCTCCATCGCATGTCGATGCATCCTCCGTATCCTCTGCCAGTTCGACATGATCTCCTCTCGCAGAATCATCGCTCCCTTCTCCATCCGCAGGTGAACCATCTCGCGCTCACGGCTTGGTACCTAGTTGGTTCCAACAGTCAGAAGTATTATGCTCACAATCTGTCAAGCGCATTTTATTAAACAGTAGAAAATTATCTACGCGAACTACTTACCTTTCCAAATGGTCACGCTTCTCATCGTGGTGTTCCCAAAAGGACCTGAACCCAGTCTCCACACCTCTGCAGTGTATCCTAGTCTACCTGGTACACCTCAAGAATTCAGGCCTTACCTGCGCTTCCATCAGAGTTCATGTCGCTGCAATTGCAGCCTTTCATCAGCCGGTCGACGGATGTTCAGTATTTTCCCATCCTACAATTAAAAGGTTCTTGAAGGGAATGTCCAACTTGTACCCACATTATACTCAACCGGCAGATCCTTGGGACCTCGAAATGGTCCTCAATTCCCTAACGGCCAGACCCTTCAAACCGCTAGCGACTTGCACTTTATATGACCTGTCCATGAAGGTCATTTTCTTGTTGGCTATTACTTCTGCGAGGAGAGTGAGTGAGCTAGCTGCACTATCAGCCTCTCCTCCTTATACAATTTTTACACACCAAGCAGTAATACTCTGAACACAACCACGTTTTCGCCCCAAAGTGATCTCTCGATTTCACATCCACGAGCCTATAATCCTCCCTACATTCCATCCCAAACCACACGCCTCACCAGAACACGCACGCTTGCACACTTTGGACATCAGATGGGCTCTCACCTTTTATATCGAGAGAACCAGACCCTTTCGAGTGACGGACTCGTTATTAATATCAATGGCGGACCGTTCTAAAGGTCGCTCATTGTCCGCTCAACGCATCTCCTCTACTATCATACAGTGCATAAGGACCTGTTATGAACTGCATAAGAAACCACTGCCCTCAACCCTGAGGGCCCACTCGACTTGGGCGGTCGCTACGTCCACTGCATTCCTCAAGGGAGTTCCCCTGATAGATATCTGCAGAGCTGCTACGTGGTCTTCCAACCTAACCTTCGCCACGCATTACGCCACCCCGAACCTGTTAATACCTGATTCCACGGTGGCGACAGCGGTGTTATCCTCAGCTACGGCATGCTAGCTCCGAACCCTCCTCCATTCGCGAGCTACTGCTGTACATTCACCTACAGTGGAGCACCCATGGGACACTGCTCGAAGAAGAAAAAGAAGTTACTCACCCTGTGCAGTAACGATTGTTCTTCGAGATGCGTGTCCCGTGGGTGCTCCATGACCTGCCCTCCTCTCCTCTTCGGAGTTTATTATTATTTTGTCTTTCAGAGCAAGAGGCAGGAGGAACTGGCGGGAGCCGGACCAGCAGCGCTCAAACGGCGCGAAAAGCCATGAGCCGTACTTCGCGCATGTGTGGTCCGGCAGACTACGGCTAGAAAAGATCTCCGATATGCGGCGCCGGGACAAGCCGACACCTACAGTGGAGCACCCATGGGACACGCATCTCGAAGAACAATCATTACTGCACAGGGTGAGTAACTTCTTTTTTTCACTTTCCAAGCCCGTTGCAGCCTGTCCCCACTTCACCTATTTCCTCTTTCTCTGTCAAGATTTTCACGCATGATGCCAACCTCCATCATTCACTTGTTAAACTTTTGAACAAGCACCTTTGTGCTTCCTTTTGCTCTGGGTTTGTCTTACTATTGCACCTCGGACAATGGGGTCTTGATCCATAACTACAGCTGCTAGGTACTAGGATAGTACAGATAGTAAACAATAACTACCCCACTTCCAAATGTCCAAATCCTACAGAAAAGCATGGAGATGCTGGAGAACTCCAAAATTGGTTGAAAGATTATTGGACAGTGTAAAAGTTGCTGTTGTTCTCCTATAATAAAAAAATACAGCTTGATTCACTAATCGTTAATACTGTCATATAATGGCAGTAACTCCACTGAGATGAATGTCATTACCCTTGTCTAAATCTTGAGTAATGCGGTGGTGAAGTAGAGGATAAATTCTCATCTGCCTCTTTACATCAGACATTGTCAGAGCACTGTGCAAAGAAAGGAAGTATAAGGCTCTGAGTAGGGATGGAGCATGTGTGTATGCATATGCTCAGATATTTCATCTGAAGATGTAATAAATTCACTATTTTTTGATCTGTGAGAGAGTATGAAGGTGGGTGCAAACATTTATGTCTATGGAAAGCCAAATTCTGCACTGACTTTTACTCTTTGTGGGGTAAAATGTGCGTTCAACAAAAAGGGGACAGTAAGGAAAAAAGACCATATAAACTATATAGTTGATTTAGTGCAAGTAATAGAATTCTGTGGAAATCTTTAACATATGCACATCAGGAGTACTGAATGATATTCCCTTTATACTGTATGACATTAGATAACAAACTTACTTTACCACTGAGAATTATGGTCCTGATGCACTAATGTATTATTACATGTTGTACCATTCTAATTCCATTACTAATAGTAATGGTGAAGTAATGTAGTGCTGAATTGGGCCCTACTTTTGAAAAATCCCAGCTAGCTGGGGAGGTAATGTTGAGTATGTCCCAAATCCAGCATTAAATTGATGAGAATATCTTGTATTCTCTTCATACATTTTTGCCTGCCAAGGAAATCTTTGTAGCTTCTTAAAAACCTCAGTTATATTCTCCCTGGAATATCTTCTATTCACTGTTCAATTTTGTTAGTATTTTTACCTGATAATTCTTGATGTTTTATTATTCCAATCACCTCTTCCCTTTCTGCTCAGTCTATCCTGGGTCGTATGACCTGCTCTCTTCTGTGTGTGTTTTGTGGTATGCTGGCCTCAGTTTGGCACATGCTTCTAAATGTGATCTATCAAAGAGTCTTAATCTTTAGTCTAAGGAGGGCATAATGATTTCTCCAGATTTAGAGTCTCTCTCTCTTCTGCTGTGTTAGACTGTGATTACACTATATTATGAAGATAGTTACATGGTATGGCTCACAGAGTTGGACATTCTTCTGCTTATTCTATTTGTGTATTCAGAGAAAAACCAGCATTGGACTCCTCCAGAAAGGTTTTGGAATCATCATTTCCTTCTTTACTTGCCTGTAGTTGTAACTTTACTCTTTGGCCTTAGTTAATTTTCTGGTTTTTATTTGTCCATTGAAACCTGATACTTTTCAGTTGCCATACTTAATGTATTAGGCTGCTATGATGTGATGTGTCAAATGACCTTTTAAAATCCAAGTAGATTATGTCCAATGTTTTCCTCCTGTCTGCTGTCTCTTACCTCCTTAAAAAACTCCAACAAAAAACAGGCTTTACCGTTTATAGGACTGGGCTAGCTATTTCTTATATCAGCTCACATTTCTCCAGATGTTTTGTGATCTCATCACTTACTAATGTCTCCCCAATTTTGTCTACTACTGAAGGTAGACTTATTATTGGTTACTGCAGTTATGAATTTATAATCTCCTGTCTCCTCCCTATTAGAACTAATTTTAATGACTTGAGAATCCTTTCAAAGAGTATGTGTTTGAAGTTTAATGGACAGGATCCTTTTTTGGCCCCAATTTAAAGGGCTCTTCTTTTCTTTCATTCTTTATTGTTATTTTTAGATATTTTCGAATGCCCTCAAGAGTGTTGTGTATTTTATAGGCAACACCCAGGATGTGTGTCCTGCCCTGAAGAGTTGGCAGTATAAGTGATTTCTTTCCTTTTTCCAGACTCCATCTTTCTTATCATTCTGACTTTTCTCAAGCTCTCCTATATCTATGTGTTTGCTACTCCACCTTCTCAGTTTATTTTCACCTCCTGTTGATACAATTTATAAGGCCTTCATAGTCACAGGGCTCTTTAATCTGTTGTTGCTCTTGGCTGACCAGGCTGCTGCTCCTACCCCCCAGAATGGTTTACTTCATTTATTACATGAGGAGGAGCGTAGCTGACTCAAAGTGCCTCTCGGCTTGCGGTAAAGACTGCTAAGACTGAGTAACTTCAATAGTTCATTTGATGCTAAGGCACTGAAGGCAAAGAACAGGTTGCTGTGAACACGCTGCCTACCCTTTGGCTGTGGTGGAGATGACCAATAAATCTCTGATAAAAAGACAAGTAGTCTAAATGTTGGGTATTTGATTAAAGCTGTTGTCCCTGAGACATATGACTGTCTTTTCCTCAAGTCTGCTCTTGAAAATTAATTTATTTTATCTGATTTTCAAAATGCTGGTTTTAGACTTTCCACTCTCATGGGCACCATTTCTTTGTGCCAGTTTTCAGATATGCTGTCTAGAGTTGGCATCCATGAACAAATATAGCCAGCTGGAGAACTGGTTAGAAGATAACACGTGAAATCCCTTTCACTTTCCACCCTTCTGAAGAAAAGGCCTTGTCATGGAGAATGAGAGAAAGTAACAGTTTGTAATAAGGTTCCCCCCCCCGCCCATTTGAGAGCAGGGATTGTTGGAATGATTGAGAACAATGGTATCTCTATGTAATAAGATTTCTGGGAAAGCCATAAGCTCCATGAAGCATATGCAATTTGGATCTGGTACAAGTCAGCCTTTCCATTACATCTCTATAGCTCTCTGCATATTTGTGATTATCCTCATGAATTATGGAAGCTGCTGCTTTCAAACAAGAGATGTTGAGAAGGAATTAGAGAACATTATTTGAATGTTTTGGAGTTAACTTCAGATCTGAGAAGGCTGAATATTTTGTCCACTGACTGAAAAAATGTAGCCTTCTGTGGAACCAACCATGATAAAAGAGGACTACAGCTCCCTCTCTCCTTGCTGCTCTTGCCGCCGCCACCACTAGAATTTCTCTGAATAGCGAAGGTTAGGTGAGGAAAAGGCCAGATTAAATGTTGCGCAACGCTAAAAATAACGTCTCCTTCTCTAAGACCAGAAACTGTTAAGTTGTGGATTTACAATTTGTGTCATGGTAATGATCCTTGAATTCACTTAAGTGTGCTGTGATAGCCTCCGACATATGCTATTGAAAGTGTTTGTGTTAGTTTAACAATTTGATGCCCGGTCCTAGATGAATCCTTTCTTTCAGATCAATGAACTACAGTGCCTAGATTATCTCCTTCGCCTTGTAATTTCTCTAAACAGGAAACCTGGCAGGAGGCAAAGAAGATGGGAGTTATGTAAATATGTGTCTGTTGCTGTTAGCATTTGGTTGAGCCTGAAGATGAAGAACTGGTTGTGGAGAAAGCACTCTGATTAACTCAGATGATAAATCTCAGAAAATTTCTGCTTAAAACTCATCTGAGACTATTTTCTGGGTAGTTTTCTCAGAGGCCAGTCTCTCAGGAGAGACTATGTGCCTTCAGGAGAATTGTTCTTGTGAACTTGGAAGTGAAATGAACCGTTCTAAGTGTAGCGCCCCCTCTCCACCTGGTTACCTTCTTTAATGCCAATCTGCTTACAGGTTTTGATGGATAGGTCTGGGTTCTTCTGCATCCTGTCACCCACTCAGCAGGGTGTGTCCTCTTTATTTTTTCCTATGAATTTATTTGGTGGTGCCTCCACCCCCCGTACTCCTTCCTGGTAGGATAACCAGGGCAGCTTGGGAGGAAAATTCTAACCACAGGGTAATCCCCACTTATTTGCCAGATAGTTGGAGACTTCCAGAAAATAACACAAACACATACAATATATTCAACACAATAATTATATTAAACAGGAGACAAATATAACAGGGTAAAACACTATTTTTAGGTTCACCGGTGCCCACGCTGCTAATACCTGTGACTTTCCCCCGTCACGTGACTTGATGTAGCAAATGTAAGATTAGTGTCCAATTGGTACGCGTACTTTATTGGGGCCCTTGATGACCTATGACCACAAAGCTCCTCTTTGCAGTGGCTTAGCAGTGTGGCTGACTGGATTCAGTACAGCCCAAAGGACTCACAAGCGGGAGAAAGTGGTAAATCCCTCCACAGGTTTAATATGCAGCAGGTTATAAAATCCCCAAATCCCTACTCCCTGGCTTGAGGACACAGTTTAGGGAGTAGGGGGGCCCCAAAACAAATTCCCTGACTAACTAAAGGTGGTGCACTCACAAATTAAATGAATGATCCTCAGGTTCAGAGATGACTCTGGACTCCTCAGTCACTGCTGAGGGGCTGATCTCTGCTGGCAGGGATCCTCTTCAGGCAGGAATCAGGCAGCTTCAGTCCCAGGATTTTCCTTCACCGTGAAGGGGTGCAGGGCTCAAGGTACAGATTACACAACTGTACTAAAATCCAAACTGTAGTCTCCTAGCCCAGCGCCCAGACACACACAGCAGGCAGCAGCCCTGAACTAGCAGACAGAGCAGAGCTGACCATGCGGTGACTGGTCTCACCTAGGGAGCTGGAGGGCTAACAGCCTGGCTGGGGAAGTTTCCCAGCGAACTCTACAAACTGGGAATCATCAGTGGAGAAGAAAAAGCCCAGCAGAGGGATCTTTCTTTCAGATCCCTGGAGGCCAGTTCTCAGGGGGAACCCTGCATGCAGGCCTGGGGCTTATCAGGGCCCCCCACCCCAGCCAGTCCTGCCCTTGCCCTGGCTGGCTCCAGACTCCCTCAAAAAAATGGCTTCTCCCCTTTCCTGAACTCCTTGGGAGGGGCATCTCACTCCCTATTGGTTGCTGGGCAGACTCTGAGTTTGCCTTGGCTCCCCCTCCCTACCAGGGACAGTGCACCTCTCCCTGAGCTCCCAGCAGACAGAGCCCCAGGAATCTAGGTAATCTCCTTGGGGATTACATAAGAACTGAAATGAAGCGACAGTATCACTGAGAGTTTTTCTTTTTTCCTTTTACAAATATGTATAAAGGGTCTCTAAAGAAAAGGACCTGCAGTACACTGCTGCCGTGTTGTTAAGCATCTGGGGGAAAGGCCAGTTCTCTTCATTGCATTCTCTAAGGCCAACATGATGCTGGGCCCCTGTTTGAAACAGATAAAAACAACCTACACAGGTCGCAAGCAGGCTGGTAAAGCACAACTGGTATTACCAGTGATTGTTTTAGTTTTAGCAAAATCGTTAGCATAATGCAAGCCTATTAGAGTCCCCTTCCTGTCAGGTGGTGGGATGTTTGCCTCTAAGACAGTGATTTAAAGAGACAATGATGGAAAATTTGGTTGGGGGTAGGTTGGGGTTGTCCAGATTTTGCTCATTCAGTGGTTACTCTGCTGGGAAGTCTCATCTGTACAAAAGACCAAATTGCTTCAACCCTCACCTTGTATGGAATTGCAGTCTGTAAGCTCCTGAGTGTG